TACGGGGAATCGGCATTCACCACGAGCACGGCCGGGCCGGCTGCGACCAGGGCCACGGCGCGCAGGTCTTTGTCGGGGTTGTAGGTGAGCTTGGAGTACAGCAGCGGGTTGAGCACCACGTTGTCGGTCTGCGCCATCACCAGGGTCAGGCCGTCGGCGGGGGCCTTGGCCACCTGGTCCAGAGCCAGGTTGCCACCGGCACCGGGCTTGTTCTCCACCACGATGGCCCACCCATGGGCCTCGGTGAGCTTGGTGCCGACCAGCCGCGTGAGGTTGTCGGTGCCGCCACCGGCCGGAAAGGGCACGATGAACCTGATGGGTCGCTGCGGATAGGTGCCCTGGGCATGGGCCGGAGCCATGGCGGCAGCGGTCAGTGCCAGCAGGCCGGCGAGGGCCAGGCGGCGTCGGGTCGGGGTCGTCATTGCGGATGTCTCCTTTGGTGGTGTCGGTGGGCGCAGGGGTACGTTGATCAGGGGCGGCTGGCGAGCACATGGCTGCCCAGCCAATCGATGGCCTCGTCGGTGGAGGTGCCGGTGAAGGGCTGCACCGCATGCGCCCGGGCCGTGGCGGCGAACAGCGCCTCGACGGCGGGCAAGGCGATGGGCACCAGGCCGTTGCGGGCCATCTGCTGCCGGGCCTCGGCCACCTCGTTGCGGCGGCGTGCGGAATGCGGGATGTGCGTGCGCACCATGGACTCCATCAGCGTGCGCAGCGGTGTCTCGTCGATGTCCTGCAGCACGGCATGCAGTTGCTCGCGCAGGCCCATCTGCTGGGCCGTCACCAGGCACTCCACGGCCAGCGCCTCGGTCCCCTTGGTGTAGATGCTGCGCAGGAGCTTGAGCGCGGCGGCATCGCCCGGCTGTCCGCCCACCACGCGAACGGAGCCGCCAAGGGGCAAGAACAATTCCTGTACAAAACCGGCCTTGCCACCGGCCACGAGCAGCGGCGTCTTGCTGCCGCCCAGGTTGACCGCGCCGGTGATGGCCACGTCCACGAAGTGCACCGCCCTGCCCTGGGCGACGCGCCGGGCCAGCTCGCCGCATTCGCGCATCTCCTGCGGGTCGGCCGTGGTCATGTCCACATAGACCACGCCATCGCGCAGATGGGGCAGGCAGGCCTCGAACAGGCTGCGCGCCACGGTGCCGAACACGGCGCTCACCACCACGTCGGCCTCGGCCAGCCAGGCGCCGGGCGCGGCATGCACCTGCGCGCCAGCGGCCTGCACGGCGTCGGCCACCGCAGCGTTGGGCTGCAGCTCGCACAGGCACACCAGGCTGTGCCCCTGCTCCAAAAAGGCCTGCATGTAGCAGGCGCCGACCATTCCACCACCCAGTATTGCGAACTTCATAAAAATACAAATTTAAAACATTTATCGCAGTCTACGGAGCACATCTCCTTTTTCTTCCTAGAGATTTCCCGTAGAACTTCGAATATTTGTACTTGTTTTGTATTTTTCGGAATGAAGCGCAGCTCGGAGAGCCCTTCCGTCGTCACCTAGAATCGGCGCACCATCCCCACCCATCTGGTGCAAACACAGTGCAAAACGTGAAAGACAAGGCGTACGAGGTTCTGCGGCAGCGGCTCATCGGCGGCCACTACCGACCCGGCGAACAGCTCAAGGAGGAACCCATTGCCCGCGACCTGGGACTGAGCCGCACGCCGGTGCGCAATGCGCTGCACCGCCTGGTGGAAGATGGCCTGGCCACCGATGGCGCGGGCCAGGGTATCCGCGTGTCGGAGTGGAGCGATTGGGATGTGGAGGAGACCTTCCAGCTGCGCATGCTGCTGGAGCCGTACGCCTCGTTCCTCGCGGCCACGCGCGGCGGCGAGGGGCTGGCCGATGAGCTGGAGGCCAGCAACCAGCGCATGGAGGCCGGCATTGCCGCTGGCCACGACGGCATTGGCGAGGTGCAGTCAGCCAACCGGGATTTTCACCACGCGCTGATCGAGGCATCGGGCTCGCCGCGCCTCAAGACCATGCTGGCGACGATGATCGACATGCCGATCATCAAGCGGTCGTTCTACATCTACACGCCCGAAGAGCTGGTGCAAAGCCTGCACCACCACTGCGACCTGGTGATCGCCATACGTGCCAGGGATGGGGAGCTGGCACGCCAGGTGATGCAGCTGCACCTGCGCATGTCCTACCACCGGTTCATGAAGCATCGAGGGGAATACCGCGCGGATGCATGAGCGGTGTCATGACCGGGGCTGAACCCTTTGCGCTGACTGCACCCGGTACAGCCGCGGCAGCCAGACAAAGGCGATGAGGACCAGCACAACGCCCGCCAGCGCCATGGGCAGCACCATCGGCCAGGCACCGTGGCGCATCGTCGGATCGACAAATTGCGCCGCCAGCTGGCCGGTGCAGAAGGCCACGCACATGATCGCGAAGCCCGAACACGACACGGCCCGCCCGGCCAGCTGCGGCGGCAGGCCCCCCACCGCGCCCGCCTGGCCGCAAGGCTGGTGCAGGCCATGGCCCAGCGCATACACCGCGTGCCCTAGCAACAATGGAACGGGCGAGGCCGGCGCCAGCACGCAGCCGGCGATCTGGATGCACGGCCCCAGCAGACTGAGCGAAGCGCCCAGCTGCACCGTGCGCACCGGCCCGTGGCGCGACAGCAGGCGCCGGCAACCATGTGATGCCGAGGATGTAGACCAGCGAGCCGCCCGCTGGAATCCAGCCGTAGAGCACGGGCGACAGGCCGAACAGGTCGACGTACACCATCGGCGACAGCAGCAAAAAAGCAGAAGATGCCGCCGTAGGTGGTTGCGGCCAGTGCCGTCCAGGCGCAAAAGCCGGGGTCGGCGATCACCTGGCGCACACCGCCAGCGGATACGGATACGGGTACGGATGCGAGGACCGGGGCAGACTCCGCTGGCACTTGCCGCGTCTCGCTGAAAGTGCGCCAGCACAGTGCCAGCAAAGCCAGCGAGTAGACGCCCATCGCCCCCAGCACCCAGCGCCAGCCGGTGGCCTGGACGCCCCATGCACCGGCAATCGGCGCCACCAGGGCCACCAGCCCCAGGCCCATCAGGCCGCGGGCCATGATGCGCGGCCCTTCATGGGCCGGATACAGGTCGCGCACCGCAGCCCGTGCGCACACCAGGATGGCCGCCATGGCCGCGCCCTGCACGGCGCGCCAGGCCACCAGTGCGTCCGCGCTGCCCGCCAGCGCACAGCCTGCCGCCGCTGCCGTGTAGCAGGCCAAACCCGTCAGCAGAACGGGCCGGCGCCCGAAGCGGTCGGCCAGCGGTCCGCACACCAGCTGGGCGACACCGAAGGCCAGCATGAACACGGTCAGGCTGCTGCTGGCCGAGCCCAGGTCGCGCGCGATCTCGGGCAACGCCGGCAGATAGCCATCGGTGGCGACCGGCTGCGCGGCCAGCAGCAGCGGCAGCAGCAGCAGGAGGAAGGAAGCGGTGCGGCGCGGGCCGGGATCAGCGAAGTTCATCTCAATGAAGCCTGGTCACGGCATGCCGCGCGTCGAGCGAGGCAGTTCCAAGGGAGATACATGGCCAGTTGCG